GCCCTCTCGGGCATGTTCCTGTGTCCCCGGGCAAGTGACCGATTCTCCACAAGAACCAAAACACGTCATGCGACATATCAAACTTTATGATTCTGCTGAACTCGGCCAGTAATGGTCTTTTTGAGAGACCACGATCCCATTGGCCCTCCCTGGCATGTTCCGGTGTTCCCGGGTATATTTTCAATTATCGACAAGAACCAAAATCCTTCGTGCGACATATCAAACTTCATGATCCTGCACGGCTAATAATGGTCTTAGGCAGTCCACAGTCCCATTTAACTGCCCCCCCCGGTTAAATATCCAACTCCCAATAAGAACCGGAACCCCTCGTGTGACATATCAAACTTCATTATTTTACGAAACTCCGTCGGTAATGACCATATTAAGAGTTCAAATTTGCTATCCCAGACAGCTGAACGGACATTGGAGCTGGTGAATACTTTGGACATTCACACGCTGAGCTACTTCCGGGAAAAAATCGCAGCTGGTATGCAATTGTCTTCCCAGCACGGATAGCTTGAGTGTGTCAAGTTGATCGGTAACGATCATTTCGTGTCCTGTGCACATGGGACTCATCGTTTCCTATCGGTTTGGAGTTCTGCCCATAGTATTGTTTAGTTGACCCATGGAAAGACGAACAATGGGGAGGCGAATTTCATAAATGCGTCAATTCTGAATACGGGTGTGATCATATGATGGCGATAATACAAATAAAAGCACACAATTGGTTTGAATCATCTTAGTGTCTGCAACCAAAACCTGATTATATTTTTTTTGTTAATGAACTCTGCCTTAAATCTGTTAATTATTATTAGTATAATAATATTAAGTTTGAAAGAAATATTGAAATAATCGAAGAATTCACGCGTAACATCAGAAAATTAATGCAAATGCAAATACATCTTCCATTGAATCTGTTAATTCAGGCACAAGCTAATATCATCACCCATCGAACTGTGCTGCGAGCATGGCTTAAAATTCGAACATTTCAGGCATAACATTTTGTGCCGTAAAGCATTTGTAAACAAACTTTCTAAGGCCCTTTACACGCGAACCAAAGTACGCCCACGCAAACCAATACCTCTTTCGGAAAGGTGATAGTTGCCCCTATCCGATGATGTTGTTGGTTTGCGTGGGCATACTTTGGTGTAAAGGGCCTTAGAAAGTTTGTTTACAAATGCTTTTGTGCCGTTATCAAATGTTATGCCTGATTTTTTGATTGGGAGGAAATTTGCTCGAGGAATTGCTTGAATTTAAGGAAATGTAAAATTTGAAGACTTGTCGTCACAACTAAGTGATTCCCATTTCATTTGTATGGCAATCACGGCCCTCATTATGAGTATCACTTCCTTTTCAATGTATATTGTCGCTAGAGTTGTAAACCGATATAACCCACTCGTGACAATCGATTTTATTCTAGTTCTGCATTAAAGCGCATTATTCAACGAATACAGTGCACTAGATACAACATTATGTTGAACGTACAAAACGAAAGTGAAATCGATTGTCGCGAGTGGATTATTTCAGTTTCCAACTCTATCATGGTGCTCCAAGAAATTTAGTATATAAGTATTCGCAGAATTGGTCATGTTTGTAGTCTAGTAAAACATTAATATGCGTATTTCAGAGTTTTTGAATAAATAAATTCATTCGAGTATGTGTTAAGGGTTTTCTTCATTTTTTTTTAAATAGTTCAAGAATAAGGATTTGGGTACGTTTTTAATTACATTTGTGTAACTTTAATTACATTAATTACAGATAATTAATTTTTAATTACATTAATTACGTAATCAAATTGAGGTACGTGTTTTAATTACAGTAATTACACTGGCACTGCTTTGATTACGCGAAATTAAATTTAATTACATGAAATACTTAATTTTCATTTTTAATTACTTAATTACATAGTTCAACACCTTGTACTTTAAATCCAACGCAGTCAAAAAGGCTATTGCGTGCCCCTCGCCTTGTCACTGGCCTGGTCAAAACCATAGAAATGTTTTATCTAGATAAAAATAATTTGTCCGAAATAGATGAGACACGAACCAACTCATAAATTTTGTACCCGTGTTCGTGGCTAAGATAAGTATTTTCCGCGAACACGGCGGCAGATGTCAGTTTTGTGCTTTGATCAGAAATTTCTTTGTAATTTGTTTGCTCATTCATGTCGGTTTGTCGGTGATTATAGTACATATAGAATAAATAATACATGAGTTGTACCAGCGCATATACAATCACATTTTTGTTTGTTCAACGTGAAGTAACGTTTAATTAGATACTTTTCTACTTTTATTAAATGGTTATTCAACTACGGTCAAATTAACCCGAAAATATGAATGTAACAGAGGTTTTTAATGCTAGAAGCTTCATCAAAGGTGACACACAAGGAAGAAGGCTTAGTGTTAGTTTGTTTACTAAAACGAACTATTCCGATAAACTATAGCGAAATTCACATCAATGGTAGATTAATTGCGTAGGAAATCAGTTTGGCAAGGCATTTAAGACCAGCATACTGTGACATGTGAATCTTACGTGTCATCAAATTCTAGAACCACGTTTGCTATCCTTATTTCCAAGAACCATTAGTTTCAAGACCACACTCGTGGGACCTTGCTTCAAATATTTTCCCAAGCCAACGAACTGCATAAAGCGGTTCGATAATCGAAAACACATGTCAGCGATTCCACTTTCTGTCCCATAAGGATCATATTCACATTTCACTGTTGCCAAGGACGCTCTAGTGATTTGTTACCAAGCAGCTATTGACGCCTTCTCCATTGCATACGCCATTCTCTCAGTTTAACACACTCTCTCAATTCGAATGACGATCACTGATTGGTGATCGCTTACATAATGCAGGAGTAAATAACTCGACTTCAGATGTCTCCCGTAGGTAATGTTGTATTTCAGTTGATTCAAATAAAGCATTAACGTTTAAACCGTCAACGAAAACGTTTCGTTCATTAAGGAGTATCACCATAGAGGTAACTCTAAGACCACTGGGTCCCGAAGAAAATCATTATTATTTTTGGCTCACTCAGTACCAGAACAACGGTCCCAAGCAATCCCAAGCTATTTCACTCACCCCTGCATGTTCTGCATGAATCCACACACCCCTGATGTTATCTGTCAAACTTTCATAGCGAATCAAAACAAACATAGTGTAGTAATAGAATTTCAACTAGAATAGGGTACGTTAATCGTTTGCTTGGGACCAATAGGCTACTAAAGTGGTGAGCCAATTTAAAATCGTTAGTTTCGTATTGATTGTTGGTATCACTCTCCCTGTTCTGGGCAAGTTACCCAATTGAAAGGACATTACAATACACCTTCCGGTCGTATGAAACAGGTCAAAAACTGTCCAAATCCGCCCATAACTTTTTTTGTTTTGAATTTCTGTATGGCAAAATATTGAACTTTTCGTGAACATTAACGGCAAAGAACTCACCAACACTGGGAGACCGTGAGCGCTCCTGCCCACCTGTCATAAAACCATCTCGGTTCTAGAGTATGACAAACCGGTGGAAACTAACGATTTTAAATTGGTTGACTACTTGACTAGCCTATTCGTCACAAGCAAATCAATTAGCGTACCCCATTATAGTCGAAATTCTAGTACTACACTATGTTTGTTTTAATTCGCTATGAAATGTTGACAGATAAAACGAGGGGTTCGTGGATTTGCCTATGTTTCGAGGGGTGCATCGATTAGCTTAGGACCGAAAAAAGTACCAGAGCTAGGCCAAAAAGTTGAGCACGTTTCTTCGGGACCTTCTGGTCTTAGAGTTACCTCTATGGTATGGTTCTTTCTGCTTTCTCTCGGCAAGAAAAAGTCACCTTATAAAATTGGAAATCGTTGTCTGCGTATTGCTCTCGGTTGTATGCCCTCAACGCATAACATGAGTCTCGAAGTTCTGGCAGTGGCAGGAGTAACACCTCTCCAGAACCGTTCATAGAGTTCTCTACAAAGCTACAGCAAATGAGCCTGGACAAATAAACGCATTATAAAAAAAAGAGTTATCTACCACCGTTAGTATTAGCAACAATCAATACGAAACTAACGATTTTAAATTGGCTCACCACTTTAGTAGCCTATTGGTCCCAAGCAAACGATTAACGTACCCTATTCTAGTTGAAATTCTATTACTACACTATGTTTGTTTTGATTCGCTATGAAAGTTTGACAGATAACATCAGGGGTGTGTGGATTCATGCAGAACATGCAGGGGTGAGTGAAATAGCTTGGGACTGCTTGGGACCGTTGTTCTGGTACTGAGTGAGCCAAAAATAATAATGATTTTCTTCGGGACCCAGTAGTCTTAGAGTTACCTCTATGGTATTAGCATAGGTTCTCGCTAGAAGTCATTTAAAGTTGATGTAGAAGTCCTCTGTTGCCAAGTGAAAAGAAAGGGAATCCTTCGGAAACCGTGATGCGAGTTCAACTGTTTTTCTCTTGGCGTGACTCATTATACACCGACTCTAGCTGGACCTTATTTGATGCTTTGTTTTGATTATGCGTTCCGTTTCGCAACGTTCCATTTCGTAAATATTTGTATATGTTTTTTTCTTGAAAACAATGTACCTAAAAATAGGACCTCAGTAACGACATCTTTCGAACTTCTCGCAAAAAAACAAGCTTACTAGATGAGTCGCCAACAATGTTGCATGCAAGGTAACAGAATATACAGAAACGACAAAGTGATCCGAAGCCAGCGCTGCGGTGAGTAGTTCGCGGAAATGATAATATTCAAGTCAATAGTTAAATGCGTGAACGATCCAGAATGAAGTGTGACGTCTGTTTGTCTGTGATATAACTTCGGTATATCAAAATGTCCATTATGCCAAACAGCGTAGCCATATGGAAGTAAGCGCGGAATCCATCAAGCCATTAAAGCAGAGGCATACCTAGGGGATAATGGCGACCAAGCCTCAACAACAACAACAAGGTGAAACCAAGTTCATACCATAGCGTAATTTTATTGTTAGTTGTACATATTTTATATAAAGAATGTTTTGTATTGTTCCGGTGAATCAAAGAATAAAAAAGTGAATTCTTGAGTTTTTCGCAGCCAGAACACACTGCGAATCAAAAAAAGTATACAAAAAAAAAATTAAAAAGAAAAATCAAAATACGAATGTCACAAAACAAATCACCAATAATTCACGTTTGAAGTAAGTCATAAAGTAGAATAGGTTCGAAAGTTGTAATCGAAACAACTAAATCAACAGTATAGTTATATAATCCTTAACGTGACTATCAGTAAGCCAATGCCTGAAGCAATGGAAGGGACTTAAATATTTCTTTATGAAGAATGCTCGGCAAAAATGCCCTTTCGCCAACTTGCTCCTTGCAACATTGAGCTGAAAGAAGAATCGGCCAACAATTCTCCGCGACCTTTTGCTATTCCAGTGTTATTCAATTGACGGACCAAAGAATTCTTCCCATTAGAGTTACCAGTCTGCGAATCTCCAGGACCTTTCACTACTCTCTTGCCATCCGAACTGTATGGCTGGCGGTATGAGGAAGTCTTCCCAACAGAAGACTGTCTGCGCGCTGATCCGCGACCTCTTGCCATGTCCATGGAATCCAATTGGCAGTACGTAGGATCAATTCCAATAGAAGTGGAACCGATCAAAAGGCTCTGCCCTCGACCAGCTCCTTGCAATACTGAGCTAATAGAATTATCAGCCAACCATTCACCGCGACCTTTTCCTGTTCCCTTGACGTAGAACCCAATCGATGAGGGTTCGTTCAAATTATTAGCCAGCAATATTCCGCGACCTCGTCCCGAACTTGACTGGCGCACCGGTATCAGTTTCGTTTGTTTTCCAGTACCCTTCATTGGGAAACTTGAACCGTAAACGCTTTCAACCATGTAGAATGAATTCATAGTAGCAACACCTGTTTCGGCAGTATCCATCTTCACATCCTTGCTGGTTCCTGCACAACTACGAGATGGGCTCTTTGCGTGGCGCCTTTGGATCTGTGGTAGTGTAAAATGGGACTGCGCCGAAGAAGAAACGAGAGACATTTCACCGACTTGCCTCAGCATGGTATTGGACGGTGTTGATTCGTACAAATGGGATGCTTCCGTGTTCAATGGCATGTGACTTCCGGCGATCAGATCAATACTCAGATCCGGGCAGCAGTTATTCGAAATGATGTACGTCCAACGGCTAACCTTCGACAGTGCACAGCACTTTGGATTTCCTAGATTCTCATGGAAATCGCAAGCAATCCCACTGGTATATTCGTACACATCATTCTTCAGCAATATTTCCGCTATGGTTTTATCCGGAAAGATGCAAATATCCAGACCGTACTTTTCCGTGCCACGCTTCAGGTGGTAGAAGAATTCTCCCAGGGAAATTACCAAAAACTGATAATTGGTCTTCGATTCTTTGTTGAGCTGAGTCAGAACACTTTCGACCACCGCAACTTCCTTGGCATCGGTGAGGAGAGGAAACAGTTTGTGCGGCTTGTTGTAACCGGTAAAAGCCAGAACCTTCTGTAGTACGGCTCCGAAGTCGGTTTCACCCAACGCATTTGGTGGAATTGGCAGCGCATGAGTTTCTTCGCTGTACTCGCTCGCTTCATAAGTCAGTCCCAACGGCAACTTGGCGGGATTTATCAATTCGTGGAACTTGCCAAGTATTCCATTTTCCAAACTGTACCTGATGATTGCCATCTCGGCCGGTACGTAATCAGATGTATGAGTCTTACAAAAATGATTGACCGAAATGAAGAACATCTGGGAAAGTATATGCAACACAATAAACAAACAAAATCATTATTAAAGCTGTCTTTTACCTCTAACTTTTCCAGCACATTTTTACGCATGCCTCTCTGAATCATTTCGGAAATTGCTTTATCAATCGTTTTCTGCTGCTTTGTTCGCTTCCGCTGCTTTATTTCGACCATCGAAAGCGGAACGCCCTTTTGATTCGTGTTCTGCTTTTGTTGATTCCTGTACGCCAGGGACTGATCCTTGTACACTAGCCTTTCGGCTTCACTCAGAAGTTTCCACGATGACCGGGCTTCGTGCACTAATTGATCCATTCCGCCGGGGAAACTCTTGCCTTTACTTTCTTCCCGTCGACGGAACTCCAACATGAAGAGGAAAAATGGCCCTCTAGGAGCCGATTTGCTTCGAGCGAGCATTGTCCGGATCACATAAACAATTCAGATAGGAAAATTAATTTTCGCGCTTTCCGACGAAAAATACACAACCAGCGACATGTGAACGATGTGAACAAAAACAAACTCGTGAAACAGGACATTGAACGCCACTAGGACTACAAAACAACATAACAGCAACTCTGGAGCAACAATAGAAAAGAGCCGATCAGTAGTTGTAAGCAAAAGGTTTGTACGCCAGTTCCTCGCAAGGCGTACGTAATCCATGCAAACCAATAGCATCATCAGATAGGGGAAAGTTTCCCCAACTCGATGATGCTGCTGGATTTCGTGGGTGATCTACGCTTTGCGAGGAAACGATTTACAAACCTTTTTGTGTACAAATGCTAATAGGCCGTGTTCTATTATTGCTCCAGAGTAACTGTTATTGCTTGCTTGTTGGAAGCTTTCAAGAAGTAAAACAACGGAAATCGATTGAAATCTTTCAACTCAAGTCACGCATCTGAGCGATTATCTGTGCTTTCCTTGTTTTAGTCCCTTCAGAAACGTCGATAACTGTCGTACAGTTCCTTTTTTGTTTTAGGTTCTAAATTCGTTGTTCTGGTGTTTATGTTATTCATTTCTTGCGGCGCACGCTTCTCGAGAGTCTGCCGAAATAATGTGAAAAAATCATCTGAATTCGTATTAAATCAGTGTAAAAGTGTTAAAAATGAGTTTCTACAGACCCAGTTCAAACTACACGTCACCGGCTTATCCTCAGCGGGCCCCGAGACCCAGTGAAAACGGTAGTAATCGCTCAATCCATCCTCCACTCAGAGACCCACCCCCACCGGGAACGACTCCAGGCGATCAATACTATCCGCTGGAAACGGCAAACTTTAATGTTCCACCACCGACACTTCATCCGGTAAGACCGGCCTCTGTACCGCCGCGTCAATCGGCAGTTCCTTCTGATGGAAATAGTCAGCCATCCCGGTATCATTCCTCCGTACCACAGCAGTACTACTCGGGTCAACACTCGTCTTCGCGATACTACGGCACGTCTGGTTCAAGGGCTAGTGAGCGAAGGGAAACATCCGTATCGGATGTTTACTCCGAACATCCGAGAAAAGACAGCTACAGGAGTCGTTCCTCACCTCCCCCAGCGGACTACTCTTACCGTAGCGGAAGAAGCTATTCCGTTCCAACCAGAGATCACGAGCGCCGACCAAAAAGTCGAGATAGGGATCGGTCTTCAAGATCGTCGACCCGTACGGAACCGACCAGAAAGGGTGATTCGTCCTCCACGGACAGCAAAGAGCGCCCAACGAGAGTTTCAAGATTCAAAGTGGTAATATTTAAAAAAAAATACAATGTCATTATGTATTGAAGCTTTTTTTAAATATACCTAATTGCAGGATTCCGAACGTGAAGCGATATTGTCTAAGTGGCGCAAGAATTATTGCGAAACTCCGGAGGACATCCGAAGGAAACTGGCCGAGCTAACCAATGACGAAGACAAAGCCTCATGGGTCCGATCGTCTCCGGCGGATCTTTTCTATCGCCGAGTTTCGGACAAAGTAGTGGAAGGAACTCCTCGGTTAGATGCCCTGTGCGTTTTGTTTGACGATGAACTTATCCGGCGGGCGGAACGTGTCCGTGCCAAACAGGCTCCATATCAACCACCACCGAGAAAGCATAAGGTTCGCGTATGTCGCCATAAAAATGACAAATGCTCCTCTTCGGATTCGTCGGATGATGAGCTGAATTTCGAGGAAGAGTGCAGCATGGAAGAGTTGACCGTTAAAATAAAGCACCCGTATCGGCTGCACGCGGACCTTTGGCATAACGATCCGGGAGAGATGAATGACGGGCCGCTGTGCCGATGCTCGGCAAGGTCCAGAAGGACGGGGATACGGCATGGGAAATATCCTGGGGAAGTTGGTTTCGACAAATGTGTATCGAGTTCAAACAATGCCGATAAGTTGTATCACTATAGGTAGGTTTGCTCGGAAATTTTAATGAGAGTCAAAATGTATTGAAATGCCTTGAAATTACTTCCAGAATCACCATCTCGCCACCGACGAACTTCTTAACGAAAACTCCAACCATCATCAAGCATGATCAACACGAATTCCTCTTCGAGGGCTTTTCGCTCCTTTCGCATCAACCGATTGGCGAACTACCAACCTGTAAGGTTATTCGCTTCAACATAGAATACACAATCCTCTACATTGAAGAGCAAATGCCGGAAAACTTCACGATTCGCGAATTGGACCTTTTTGAACGCTTCATGTTTAAAGAATTGCTCGAGCTGGTTGACTTTACCGTGTATCCCTCGGGCGCCGGTCCGGAAAACTCCTGCCCATGCTATCATTTCCTCCCGAGGTTTGTTCGGGACCTCCCGGATAATGGGAAGGAAGTACTCGCAATGGGTGAGGTACTGCGTTACCTTTTGGACAATTCCGGTCCCTTGGTTGCACCTGACATACTGAAGGAGATGAACGACCTGAGCCAAATTGAATGGCAAGACTACGTCGACTACGTAAAGGGAATGGTAGTGACGAATCCCGGAATGAAACCTTGCTCAGTACGAGTAGATCAGCTTGATCGTAACGTTACGGACGTACCGGATGCCAATCTAACCGACGAGGAAGGCAATGTTCATCCAGTTATCGTCCACTTTGGCATCCGACCTCCCCAGTTGAGCTATGCAGGAAATCCAGAATACCAGAAAGCATGGAGGGAGTACGTCAAGTTTAGACATTTGATCGCGAACATGTCCAAACCATCGTTCGAGGATAAGCGAAAGCTGGAAGCAAAGGAGAACCGCCTGCTGGAAATGCGCACTCAGGGAAGAATGAAACGTAATATTACGGTTGCCGTCAGTGCCAAAGGGTTCCACCGAACCGGCATAATGTGCGACATGGTGCAGCACGCTATGGTGATTCCGGTGCTTACCGGCCATCTGCGGTTCCATCGGGCGTTGGACGTTTTGGAGCAGCACGTCGATTATAAGTTCATCAATCGCTACACGCTTCAGCTGGCTCTGACGCATCCATCGTATAAGGAAAACTTCGGAACCAACCCGGATCATGCGAGGAACAGCTTGACCAATTGTGGCATCCGTCAACCGGAGTACGGCGATAGGAAGATTCATTTCATGAATACCCGCAAGCGTGGCATCAATACGTTGATCAGCATCATGTCCCGCTTTGGCAAAGAGTACGAAACGGACAGCAACATTACGCATAACGAGCGGCTGGAGTTTCTCGGCGATGCCGTGGTTGAGTTTATCACGTCGATCCATTTGTTTCACATGTTTCCGGATTTGGAAGAAGGTAAGCTATATATGCCGGTACATTCTGGAACGGGGCTGCAACATAACACGCGATTTTGCGGAATCGCTTTTCGAATCGAAATTCGTATCGTCATCAATATTTCAAAAAGACCAAAATGCGTTTGTAATTTTTTTAATTTTTTTAATTTTTTTTTTTCTTTTATTCCATACCCCTCTGGCCAGATATTAAATGATTATTGATTATTGTTCAACTAAATTTAATTCTATTACCTAGGGGAATTTACGTATTCTCGGCAACCTAAGCAACGACCATCTTTCTATAGCCTTTTTCTCTCAGGAACGCACACATATGTGGTATAGATCAGTGCACGGTCCCTAACCTCACTTTTTGCTCCCTATCATTTTGCTTCTGAGTAAAAGAGATAGCAACGAATGGGAGCCAAAACAAACCACCCAAAACTGTCAAAACTTACGGGTGAGAGAAGAGTGCGGCAAATCTTCGTGAACTGATCAATTGGTTTGTTTACAATATTTTGCTGTCAGCGGCTCTAGCAATTCTCGCGTCACTATTCAAATAGACCAATGTAACATATCCACCATTTTGAGAAAATCGAAGTTGAAGTTCGACAGATTATTATTTTAACTGTTTAAAAACAATACATTTTGCAATACTATTTTTAATGTAGTCAGTGTATAATAACGTTGAAAATTCAGAAGAAACGGTAAAATCACAATTTTACTTTGAATTTCATGCTACAACATAGAAAAAACCACATAGGACGTTTTGACAAGTCGAGTTGTACATCGGACATGTTACATTGGACGATTTTTCTCAATGACATAATCAATGAGTGTTACATTGGACGTTTTGTCTACAGGATACTAGATTCCCTTTCACAGATTTCAGAGTATAGTACCTAACTTTAGATTGGCCCCGCCTTTGGAAAATGAGCACCAATCATGTTAGGCAGTCCGAATGACCGAAGTAACAATCATATACCCATCATTTCAAACTGTACATTGGACAATTTTTGATCGATGATTTTCTTAAATAAATGAAAGTAAATTTGGATGGGTGTTTTTGTATCACATACAATGATAGAAGAGCAATAGCTTGAATCGCTTAACTCGATTTGTTTACATTTGTTACATTGGTCTATTTGAAAAGTGACGCGAGAATTTCTGTCCAAATAAATTGTCAAAAACTGTTTTGAAACGCTTTTACAAAGCTGCAAACTTCTCTAGTGAGAGCGACTATTGTGGGCAACCAGGCCAGTGACAAGGCCTATACCAACAGCAGCGCTTGACAGTAGGCAGCATGTCCCGGGCTCAAATCATTTATTTTGCTGTGCTGGGCCCGCTGTCACTGTATAACATGTTGCCTACGCGCCTGCCACTGAGCTGTGGGCAACACCTTTTTATTCGGCATGTTAAACAGCTGTGCTTTCATCGGCAACTTGAAATCAGCAGCATTTTGTAGTGCGCGTGTTTCATTTCAAGAAAACCCTGCTATATTGCCTTTTCTCAGTGGTAAAAATATAATCAAAATGAAGCTGAAAGCCTAAAAAATCGTTTGAATGCATTCAGAGAATTGTTTACGTGAGAATTCTAATGAAATTAATGCATAAAAAATGACAAAATGATACGCACTCTTTGCAAACTGTCAAAGAATCATTGTACACAAAATCAACTTTGTTCAAATCAAAACAAAAAAACTAACCCATCTGGTAGATGATGGCACAAGCTTCCAAGAAAATTCTATTACAGTGAACCACATTATTTAAATGGATTTCTTCGCCAGTTAGTCGTCTGTCACTTCGTTTGTGATGATAGTGTGCCATTTGGTTTCAAATGGATTGCTTTCACATGCTCATGCACATATAATCTCATAGTGATAGCAATGTTTAACATATTTAGCAGGGTTTTAATCATACAAATGCTAATCGCTAGCTTTCATGCTAAAAAACCCTGGTTTTTTAGTCAAAAGTTATTATACGTCGTTTGGTGGCCCTTATTGTTACTTAAGTCAAAGTGTATTTACCAGGATATTCGGGAGAATTATCAATTACGTCTCCTTACGTGCAGCCCATTCATCATTTTAGGACCACCGAAATCATCTTAGCAACAAACAGTTCGATTTATTCACTTTAATAATGAAAAAGCGAAACGACGAACGTACACTTTTCACGGGTTTCTCAGCGCTGTTACTTAAGTCAAACGGCATCTCCATAGAAATTGGGTGACTTAAGTAACATTGAAAACTATTTTGATCAGAAGGTGATTACGTCAAAAAGCAATTTGACTGGTAAATAAATTTAAAAATGGGATTTGATCCTATATTCGGACAGTATATAGTGTAATAGCAGGAGAATCGATTGACACTGATAGCTCGACTTTGTTTACCTTTGTTACATTCGACGTAATGAAAATTTGCTCTTGAAGTAGAGTGTCGTTTGGTTTCAAATTAATTCAAGCTGAACATTGCATTAGGTCTTGAGTAACATTGATCAATTCTCTTCGTCGACTTTCTCTTTCGTTAATAACTTGAGCACATAACCGTTTCTTGTTGTGGTTGTCGTATTAGATGCTAGATAAAAGCTTCTTTGATGGATCTGTGTGCTGAAAATACCCGGGAATGTCTTTACATGGCCGTGGAGAAACAAAGAGAATCTGTCAATGTTACTTAGGACCTAATGCAATGTTCAGCTTGATTTGTTGTAACTTTGACAGCTCGACTAGACAGAAGATAGCTATATTTGGCAAAGTTGTTCAGATGGACAAGACGTATTGGATGATGGACATCTCAGTTAATATTTCACTCACCAGGTAGGGCTAGTGTATCATTTGACTTTTGCTTCGTTAGTGCCTAGGATGTTGCTCCGACTATTTCTGTTGCACCAGCCCCACTAGTGAAAATTCTCCCGCATCATTGCCCTCTTGTTATTTCACTGGAAGAGAGACGATCGTGCACCATTACTATTTCCCCGATCCCAGTCTACTATGACTATCGGAACGCAGATCATCACGGTATAGAAGATTTTCTCTCCGAGCTTGACTGAGTCAATATTCTCGATAGAAACGATGTCGAAGCAGCTGCCCAGTCGTTCTCTCACATTATGGCTTACGTCATTGACAAATACGTGCCGAAAAAAGTGAACCGAACTGGAACACACCCTCCATGGTAATCCACTGAGCTACGGCGACTGAAAACAGTAAAGCGTGCCTCCCTGAGGAAGTACACGAAGCACCGCACTCTCTCACTCAGGAACCACCACCAACAAACCGACATGGCACTTAATTCAAATGTGCAGTGAGCCGAACTGTCAAAACCATGGGATTGTTTGATATAGATACAAATAATTTGTCCAGAATAGATCAGACACGAACCAATTCATAACTTTTGCATGCGGGTTCATGGTTTAGTTAAATATTTCCCGCGAACCCGGAGCCAGATGTCATTAGTGTGCTTGGGTCAGAAATTTTGCTATGGTCATTCATGTCGGTTTGTCGGTGGAACCACTACGTGAGACTCAATAAAAAGTTCAAACAAATTAGTAAACGTTGCTATTCACGCTTTCAACGTAGTATCCAACGCAAACTCAAGTATAAACCAAAGCCATTTTGGAAGTACGTTAACGAGCAACGCAAGGAACCGTCCTCGTTGGTTCTGGAAGGGGAAACGGCTACCGATCCGGGCGAGCTCCGTCAAGTTCGCCAACGTATTTACAGAGGAAAATTTATCTGATGAGCACGTCTCTGCTGCTGCCCCACAATCCGGGGCCAGATGGAATACCAGGGAATACCATCCATTATCCTGAAGAACCATATCGAATGCTTGCTGTCACCACTTCGTCATTTGTTCCAGCCAAGGGCGTGGCCAGGTTTTGAGCTAGGGAAAGGCGACAAAAAATTTACTATGGAAAATTTGGCCGAATGCCATTTCACCGAAAACCTTTGTATTGCTGAGTCTAGGGGGGGGGGGCAGTTGCCCTCCCCTGCCACCCTCTGGCTATGGTTCCTATACTGTTTAAAATCGCTGTACTGCTCTGCGCCCAATTCTAGAGTTCAGTTCTGCAGTGTGGAATCCAGTAAACCTCAATGGCTCGGAAAGGATCGAATCTGTACAACGAAGGTTCGTAAGATTTGCCTTGCGTAGGCTACCTTGGCGTTATCCTTATCATCTGCCCAGCTACGAGAGCCGCTGCCAGCTTATCAATCTGGAAACCCTGCGGTCTAGACGAAACGTATCCAGAGCCTTGTTCGTAGATATTCTTCAGAACAGAATCGATTGCTCCGCCGTTCTGCAGGATATCGCCATAAATGTCCAACCCAGAGCCCTACGGAACAATCGTATGCTGCGCTTACCTCTACGCCGGACAAATTATGGGATGCATACCATTATCGATGGCATTCAAAGGACCTTCAATAGAGTCGCCCCGGTATTATAGTACGTTATCCCTCGCCTGGCGTAGCGTAAGCCGATTTACTGAGGTCTTTTCTGAAGCGACGAACAATTGAGGCAAACTCTAAGATCTTCTTTTATTATTATTATTATTATTATTATTATTATTAGTGTCCAGTGAGTTATAAATGTGAGTCTTAAGTAAAACATCAATAAGACTAAAATGGTCTGTTGATGTGGACATCCATCTAGATTGTTTGCTTTAACTTGACAGCTCGCCAAGATATTGTGCATATCGATAAAAAATTAGTAAAAATTGTAAGACTTTGCCAAGTCTTAAGTGGGAATGACATTGATGAAGACTGCACATTGTAGTTGATATACGTATCTGTCATAGATTCCAAAATGAATTAAGTGGAATTAGATGTAAGATAACTTCGATGAAGATCTTCAAACTTTCCTGGTGTTCTTAGAACTTCTTTGAAATTCACAGACCGTCTCTGAATTTTACATTTGTGTTCCCTAAAATTCGCAGATATTTCTTAAAGTTCACAGTAGTACATTTTCCTGCGTTATTTTTGTAAAACTTTCCTTGAGTTTGCAGAGCTACATCGAACTACATATAGTTTTGCTACAGTTCACAGAACTCTCTTGAAGTTCGTAGAAATTAACAGGATTATTATTATTATCTCTATTTAGGAGATTTTCAGCCGCAGGCTGGTTCATCTCCGAAATTATCAGGAGGACAATGGACAAACTCGCAAAACATCCCTGAAGTTCGCAAAAATTTCCTGAAATTTGTAGAACTTCTCTGAAGAACGAAGCATTTTCCTGAAGTTTGCTGTAATGTTCTCAAAGTTTAATGAGCTTCTATGAAGTTTGAAGCACGCCTTTAAAGTCTACAGAGTTTTCCTGAAGTTTGTAGAACTTCCCTGAAGTGTCTGAATGAACTTCTCTGTTACTCTTGAGTTTTTAAGAGTTTCCTGGGGTTCGCAGAACATTATAGAAGTTCATACAATGTTCCTTTAGTTCGGAGCTTTTCATTACTGTTCGTAGAATTTTCCTGGTGTTTCTAGAATTTACATGTGTTCACAAAAGTTCTCTCAAGTTTGCAAACATATCCTGAAGTTTACTGTAATTTAGAAATTTAGTTGGAGTGCGCAGAACTTCATGTAGTTCGTAAAATTATCCTGAAGCTCGTAGAACTTTCCCTATAGTTCGCAATACTACAGACAAACAGACGTAACACTTCATTGTGTATCTTTGTTCACGCATTTAACGGTTGATTTGAACATTATCAGTTCCACGAACCACTCGCCGCAGCGCTGGCATCGGATAACTTTGACGTTTCTATACATTCTATAGAACTTTTATGCAATATTGTTTGCGAGTTAGCGAGCAAGCTTGTTTTCCGCGAGAAGCCCGAAAGATGTCGTTACTGAGGTCCTATGTTTTGAGATACTATGTTTTCAAGAAAAACTTTTTCAAAGAGCTACGTCTGTTTGTCTGTGGCAATACTTTCATAAAATTCGGAAATCTTCACTGAAGGTCACAAAACTGTGCTAAAGATCACAGAACGTCTTGAAAGTTCACAGCAGTTCCCTGATGTTCGCTCAGCTTCTCTATAGTTCGCAGAAATTTCTTGAAAGTCGCATCCTGAAAGAATCCTTAGCAAAAATATGGGAACTGCGTTGAAGCTCTCCGTAGTCACTCAAGGTGAGGGCTACCCAAACTCACTGGACAAGAGTAGTTAACCTCATGTGAGTTTGAGGAGTTTCATTAAGCCTGTGCTCCGGTACCAGGACGGTTCGTCGCAAGACGGGCTATTTAAGGTGGCACAGATTGAAGTGGTGTGAACTATGAGCATTTCCGTATGGCAAATTTTACTATAAAAATTATAATCATGTTTATTCGCGAAATTGGGTTCTTATATTTTAAAAAACATATCGGGTACTATTCATCATCCGAAAGGGCTTCGTTTTCTGAGCACAACGATTATTTTTTAATCCCATAGACTTCCATCTCGATTTTTAAATCAAGATTTAAAGCTTGACACTAAACAGATTGACAGCTCGATCCCATACAAAATCCCAGTTAGGGGTGCTAAGATGGTATTTTTTAATAATGTAATAGAACTTATTTAAAGTTGAGATAAATGCATATTCGTAATCTGCGTTAAAAATTGAACCGAAATCCAAAATTTCACCAATTTTGGTACACTGGAACTGTTCTGCCGCTTCGAAAGTTGACTCAACTTATCGTGGAAGACTTCGGATCTCTGAAAGTTCTTCGTACAAACACATTCTCCTCTGCGAACGGTGGTTTTCAAGGCTATTTGTAAACCCGAAGTCCTCCCAACAAACAATTTGAGCGGATTAAAGGCTAAATAAGCCATTTTTTTTTAGCTGAGGAAGTCTATATTTGCCTGAATAAGTTCTTATTCTGCTTCTAATGTTTGTTGGATAGTACCAACAATCAATACGAAACTAACGATTTTAAATTGGCTCACTACTTGACTAGCCTATTGGTCCCAAGCAAACGATTAACGTATCCCATTCTAGTCGAAATTCTACTACTACACAATGTTTGTTTTGATTCGCTATGAAAGTTTGACAGATAAAATGAGGGGTTATTCGTTTTTCCTATGTTTCGAGGGGTGAATCGATTAGCTTGGGACCGAAGAGAGTACCAGAGCTGAGCCAAAAAGTTGTGCACGTTATTTCGGGACCATCTAGTCTTAGAGTTACCTCTATGATAGTACTGTCCGTCTTCTTATTTTTACGGCAGTATGAAGTAATTAATTAATGACATCATAAAATACATACATCATACCATATATGATCGTGGCTGCTGTTCTCTTCATTACATCATAAACCACAGACAAACAGACATAATTCTCGCAAATTGTTCATCGAACGGTCAATTTAAAAGTATCTTAGTTGGTAGTACCGTCACCTGTGGCGCTGATAGTCAATTCCCTTGCATTTGACGTTTACACACTATTGCCATAGAGGTAACTCTAAGACCACTGGGTCCCGAAGAAAATCATTATTATTTTTGGCTCACTCAGTACCAGAACAACGGTCCCAAGCAGTACCAAGCTATTTCACTCACCCCTGCATGTTCTGCATGAATCCACACACCCCTGATGTTATCTGTCAAACTTTCATAGCGAATCAAAACAAACATAGTGTAGTAATAGAATTTCAACTAGAATAGGGTACGTTAATCGTTTGCTTGGGACCAATAGGCTACTAAAGTGGTGAGCCAATTTAAAATCGTTAGTTTCGTATTGATTGTTGCTATTGCCATCTTTTCAGCGTACTACCCACCACAGTGTACCCAACAGATGGCGGTAATGTTTTAGCGACGATGTTTTACAGTGAGAAATATTCATTTTGTTATGTCTGTTTGTCTTTGCATAAACGTACAATCTCACATATAAAACAGTGCCAAAGGTTAACGCTGACTTGACGAATCATCTCCAAATCTCATCTACAGGTGGCTTGGCAACATACCGTGCGGCCATCGTTCAGAACCAACACCTAGCCGTACTTGCCAAAACCCTGCACCTGGAGGAGTTCATGCTGTACGCCCATGGATCCGATCTGTGCCACGAGCTGGAACTGCGCCACGCGCTGGCCAACTGTTTCGAAGCCTTGATGGGAGCCCTTCTATTGGACGGAGGCATAGAAACGGCGGACCGGGTGTTTGCCTACGCACTATTCCAAGAAGATACCAGTTTGCGTACCGTTTGGGTCAACTATCCACCGCATCCGCTGCAGGAGCAAGAACCCCTGGGCGATCGCCATAATATCGAATCGTTCGCGATTTTGAAAACGTTAACCAAGTTTGAGGAATCGGTTGGCGTCAGCTTCAACCATATCCGTTTGTTGGCCAGGGCTTTCACCGATAGATCGATCGGTTTCACCAATTTGACTCTAGGATCGAACCAACGGTTGGAATTCTTGGGAGATACCGTACTACAGTTGATATGTTCGGAGTACCTCTACCGGCACTTTCCCGAACATCATGAGGGACACTTGTCACTGCTGCGCAGCTCGTTGGTCAACAACCGCACACAAGCTGTCGTTTGTGATGATTTGGGCATGACCACTTATGCCGTTTATTCCAATCCGAAGGCTGACCTGAAAACCAAAGATCGAGCAGATTTGCTGGAAGCATTTCTAGGGGCTCTCTACGTGGACAAAGGCTTGGAGCATTGTGAAACCTTTTGCCACGTTTGTCTGTTTCCGAGATTGCAAGACTTCATCATGAATCAAGACTGGAATGATCCTAAATCGAAACTGCAGCAGTGTTGTCTCACACTCCGTACAATGGACGGTGGAGAACCGGACATTCCCATCTACAAAGTTATCGAGTGCAATGGTCCAACCAACACCCGCGTGTACACTGTGGCCGTGTATTTCCGCGGAAAACGGTTGGCTTGCTCGAATGGTCACAGCATTCAGCAGGCAGAAATGAATGCTGCTAAAAAGGCTCTCGAAAACTCCAAGGATCTATTTCCGCAGCTGGACCATCAGAAGCGGGTCATTGCACAAAGCTTGAAACGGCAGAGGGTTCGAAGAGCGTCTATGGATGACCGTTCAGAGGATCAGGATAGGCGGGACGGTGCATCTTCCGAGGAGATTTACAAAAACGGAAAGTCTACTGACTCCTACCGGAAGAGGCGTAAGAAGGTCCCGGATACACCGCAACTACCAAAACAGTATCAAGTTAAGGACAGCGATAGTGACAGTGATGATGCGGATGACCGAGAGAAAAAGAAAAAGCGTCCTAAAAGACAGAGAAAGAGATCGCACTCTACTGACAAAGTTGCACCAAGTCCCGCAACAAACCACAAGGAAAAAGTGGAATCGAAAACGGTTAGTTTAGTGGTTCAGTATGATTCTCTATCGGATGAGGTAGATCTACAACTGGAAGCCATTTCGGAGTCGGACGAAGACTTTGGTGTCAAATCTGAACCCAAGCAGGACCACTACAACAGCATAGCGTCCGATGTTAGTAAGAACGATGACGCAGCAGCAAGTGGTGCCATAAATGAGGAGAAAGGAACTTTCGCCAATTCTGTGCAAATCTTCAAAATCGAAGGAACGGACGATGTATCATCAGATCTTGAATCCGGTGAAATAGAATAAGAAAAACAATTCCAGGTAAGATACATACTTAAAAAAAATAAAAATAAAAATTTATTCCTCGTAACTAGTGGATGTTCTCATAAAAATATAATATCACAATCTCATACAGTGATCAAAGTTTAATTAGCATTACATAAATAGCGAATGTCGAAACAAAATACAAAACTCACCAACTTCGAAGGTCAACGAGCAGCTTTCAGACGGCGAAACATTGCCGAGCCTTCACGGGCTAGTGCATCTGCCCGTTCATTGCCCAGTATTCCGCAATGCGCATCGACGTGGTTCCACTTGATTTCGATCTTGTTGCCTGCCAGTTCCCGGTCCAGTTCCTCAAAATCCACCTGATTCTTAACCGGTTTTCCGGTCGAAAGTTTCCATTGATTCCGCTTCCAATTGGGCACCCACTTGGTAATGGAATCGATTAGGAATTTAGAATCTGTATTAATAATCAGTCTTTTGATGCCGTTTTCTTTTGCTAGCCGTATGGCCAACGAAGCGGCCTGGATTTCTCCGCAATTGTTGGTCGCTCGCCCACTGACCGGTTTCGATGTGTTTCTGGAAATGATCAACGTCCAAATAAAAATACTTTTCCCGTCTAATTGTCCGTATACTTACAATGCGTGTCCCTCACCGAAGTACACCCCCAAACCAGCGCAGGCCGCCGCAGTTCCATTCCCTTCACAGGAACCATCTGTGTAGACATGCACGTAGCCGTCTGCATCCTGGAGGAAGCTGTAGCTGCCATACTTTTCCAATTTAGTAACTGGCTTCAGTGCGCTAGCTGTCTTCTTACGCTTGGCTGGCCGCGGTACATCTGATTCCTCTGGCGCCGAGCACGGAACTACCACCGTTGATCTCAGCTCGTCCAGTTCCCGCTTCATACTTTCAATTCTAGAGCAGGCAGCATTGATACCATCGTAATTATCGATCTGGATAAAACAAAATAAGATTATTAAATTACCTTTAGATTCCGTCCAATTTCAAGTATTCCTCTTACCAATACCCGGACGGACTGCGTCGGGGGACACACGGGTTGAGAATCCACGGAAGAATTACTTGCGCTGTCGGAGCTGGAACTGGATATGCTACCGCCATTTTCACGGATAAAAGTCTCTGCTTGCTGCCGAGTGGGAAACTTTTTGTACTTGGCCCCAGTAAATCCGGTCACTTGTCGCTGACATTCTGGCCTGAGTGGGGGTGGAGTTTATTGAGTGTGACTCTGTGTAAAGAAAACATTATTTGGACGAGAAAAACTTACCACGTCAAATAGACACCAACAGTTCTACCTTTAGCCACGGCATAAAATGGCATATTGAGCACTAGTCCACGCAGTAGATTGCGAATCATTCAACGAAGTAGTATTTACTTAAAAACAATCACCAGTTGCAAGATTTTATCTGAATTTTTATCAAAAACCTTGGACTTCAAAACTGGTAACCATTGAACAGTTAACAGCTGGCTTTGTTGTGATATTTCAGTTTTCTGACAGCTATGCTGGAAACAGGGGGTGTCTCGATTCAGGGCTTGTAGATTTGCGAAACGAGGAAAATCCGTTTCTGAAGGGCAAATATAGGGCTTGCGCAACACATCGCGAATCGTGTGGAAACTGTCAAAATAGCAAAAAACACCAAATCCGAAACGTCAAAAATTTTCTTCCAAACTCGCTCACGTCTTCTCGTCGGTGGACGTGTGTGCTGCGCGTTTCCGCGATTGAAAAATATTCAAATTTTAATCCTGTAATAATTGTAATTATACCTTGTGCCCTGCGCTAGTTGTTGTGTCGTTTGATTTATTAGTGCACCATGGTTGTGGTTCTGAGTTGGAATAATCCTGTTTCTTAGCTGAGCTGATTGTGAAGCAATTCTTATTTACACCCTTGTTAGTTTCGCGTCATCGTCTTCGTGACTAATAGGGTGTAAGTGGGTGAAAGTGAGTCCTTTGTGTGCAACAGTCGAAGTGTGTTTTTGGTGTTATCAGTGAGAGAAGCAGCCCCGTTTTCATGACCCTGGAGGAATAATGGTGTCTATTATTAAAAATCAATTGCTGAAGCATCTTCAACGGTAAGGACGAGGAAATGGATTGCCTTCACTCGGTGCACTTAGGAACGTCTTACACACTCATACTGTTGCAGCAGTGAAATGTCGTTTCAAGGAAGTAGTAACTGTGGTTTTTTTTTTGGTGACATGTCATTCGTGAGAACTGAGTTTTATGCTAACAGCTGGAAGCGGAAAAATACGTCCTACATAGAATTTAGAGATTAGATGATAAGGTATCTGTGGTCGGCTTTCTGGCCACGCCTTGTGCGATGTAAATTACATCGGATTTCCAGCCAAGGAATATGGGCAATTTGCCATTTTTCTTCCTCTCACTGTGCTATATAACTCAGTCACCCCCATTGTAATTCCATTACATGCCTGCTGCCTGCCTGCTTCCCTCCGCCTCCACCGTGTTTCTCAGGACTTGGTGGCTTCATTGGCTACACTGGTGTTGTTTCGTATACGCCAGTGAAAAGTAGCGGTAGAGTGAAATATAATTTATTGGTTTCGTTATTACGGTGGCCTTGCCGGATGCGGAGAATCTATCGACCCGTACTGGATGCGGGTGAGTTTCTTTTAGTTGACTTGAGATTTAATCGTTTCCCGACAAGGGACAAAGTAGGTATCTACTGCGATGCTGGATTATCCTATAGCTATTTATTAAGTTATAAATTCATTGCATATGAGACTATTTAAACATATTGACAATCACCACATCAATCTCAACAAGAGATTTCCAAGTGCCAACCAAGCGCTCTGAAACCCTTTCTTGTTAATTATGCCGGCACGGTGACAAAATGTTATCTGACCTCGTCGCGATTAATTAAAATCCCCTTGCAACCTGTTCTATCCTTCTACATTCGAACGGACGAAGCAAATAAAAAGACAAGGAAAATCCGGTAACCTGAGCTTAACTCGGTAATGTTAACATTGGATACGTTTTCTCTGTCACAGCTTACAGCAAAATTGCTATTTCTACAATTTGTTCTAGTGTCGTGCTGTCTTTGGAAAATGATAATATCTAATAACAATAATCTGCTGTGGATAAGCTTCGTATCAATCACGTGTAGAAGCAGCGATTCAATCAACAGGTTTGTGCCGTACTAGTCGATCGTAAGACATTTTATTCCAGCTCTTCGCTGTACGGGACTGCGGAAAAACCAATACAAGTGGAAAGAACTGAATGGCATCAAACTGTCATTAGCACGCAGTTTTAATCATATTTTTCCAGTAAACTGTCTTGGTCAAATAGGGTACTGTACTCGGGTACATAATTTACTATGGTTGTTTGTACGGTAAACAGTGAAGTGGCTTGAGAGCAGAGGTTATCTTTCTGCTGGCAAAATGCACCTTATCATTTTTTTTCCTTGATTTGTTTTTCGTCGATCTTGTTTTCCGTGCTAAGCACCAATGCTACCGACGCCAGGGAGGCAGCTCCCACACCTGGACCCTACCTATCGACCCATCAACTCATGAATCGGGGACCAACGGCCCTATCATATGATGCTGTTGGATCCGCGAGAAATCGATGTTTGAAGTCACTATTTACATTTGGTTGTTTCGCCACTTTCTTATGGTTCATAAATGTCCTAGATTTCAGATATTGACCATTGTTCTGAGTCTCTAAATATTAGCTGTGGATTAGTGGACCTCCCTTAGCTCAGTCGGTAAAGGTGCAGTTACAAAGCAAGACCATGCTGGAGGTAGCTGGGTTCGATTCCCAGTTCTGTCTAGGAATTTTTTCGGGTAATTTTCCAACTTCGACTTCCCTGGGCATAGAGTATGATTGTACCAGGGTGGCAAGTGAACCAGGAAAACCAGGAAAACCGGGAAAAAGTCGGGAATTTATTTTCACCAGGAAAAACCCAGGAATTTCATAAGTTCACCAGGAAAATAATCTTGTTTGTATACTTTAAATAGGTTTTAAATTTTATGTATGTCAAAGTTTCTTTTTATAATCAGGTCAAAACTAACCATTTTGTTCAAGCTAAATCTTTCACACAACTAAACTTTGATGAACAAAATTTACCCTGAGAATTTAGTAAATATATTTGTATTTATTTTTAATTTCATTTTTTGTCTCAAATCAATTGCATGTACGATTTGTGCTTAATTGATAGCAGACTTAAGCAAAGCCGACGCGTAACTACTTTGAAGTACCTGATCAACATGTTCAATAAAAAAGTTCTATTTCTAAAAACTTCAGATAAGGCTTTCGAACTTCATGCAAGTTCTATAAAATTCGGGAAAGTCTTACAAGTTTCAGAGAAGTTCTACAAATTTCACAGAAGTCTTACGAACTTAATCTTAATCTTTGTTGAATAACTACGAATTTTACAGAACTTTCTACAGATTTAATGTAACTTCTACGACATTTAGGCATTGCTTAAAACTTAAGGATAATCTTATGACACTTATGGATTTTTTCCGAGCTTCAGAGAAGTCTTCAATACTCTTGGGAAGTCCTCTGAACTTAACATAGTTCTCCAAGCCCAAAAAAGTTCCTAGAACTTCCGAGAAGTCAATTGAACTACATAATTTCCAAGAAATTAAGGAAAGACCCACAAACTTTTGGAAAACCCTTCGATATTTAAAGCCTTATGCACTTTAGGGAAGCTCTTCTAAATTTAGGGTCCTCATATATTCAGTTAAGTCCTTCAAACTTCAGGGAAGTGCTCAGATCTTCGAAAAAGTTCTTCGAACTTGAAGGAAGTCTTACAAACTTCGTGGACTTCTACGATATTTAAGAAATTCCTATGAATTTCAAAAAACTCCGAACTTCAGGGAAATCCTAAGATCTTAAAAAAAGTCCTTCGAACTTCGGGGAAGTCCAGTGTAATTCAGGCAATACAAACTTCAAAGAACCCTTCAGGAAAGACCTTAACGCTTCAGGGAAGTTCTACGAACTTTAGGGAGTTTCTATGAACTTCAGCAGTCAGTCTTTTTAATATTAAGAGTTATTAAACCAGCGTTGTTTATGAAATCTTTTAATCATATGATTTTGAAATCATGTTGCAATCAAAATTCCGCTAAATAAGATCCTTAATCGTTGACAATTTGCGGAAAATTTAAACAAACTGGAAATCCGTAAAATTGTTAGAAGCAAAGGTTTGTTTAAAAGTCCTCATTCATATCACACTTCGCAATTTCACCTTGAGATAAACTAACCCGTTGGCTAAAAATCTCTCTAATAAAGTTAAAAAAAATCGCAGTTTCAAAAACAGAAATCTCAAGATTTAGGGGCTTTTAGATCTCTAAATTTCAGACGTTAGATAGTGCTCCGCGCTAGTCCAATGGGACCACAGTACCTTTCATTTGGCGCTAGTTGTGTCCAATTCGGTGCATGAGCGTATTCTTTTCGTTACACACATGAACACACACATACATTTTCCGATGTCATTGAGCTGAGTCGATTGGTATAAAAAACTCGGCCCTCCGAGTCTCGGATCGAAAGGTGGTTTCCCAAGCGGTATTATACCCTTCAAAAACAACTTTAAAAATCCTGCAGAACTGAAGCGTCCGGATGTTTCCCTTGTGATCCTTTCGCAGCTGCGACGACAGGGCCGGCAGCAACAGTAGCACCGATAGCGCGATCTATCGCTCTAGCTCTTGCTGGAACTACACCAATGTCAACAGCAGTCGATTGTTCCGCCCACGGTTCTTAGAAAATCGAGGTACCCAATGTCGTTTGTATCTTTATTGGTTTCAGAGATATGTAAAAATGAAAATTGAAGTTTATTAAAAATCGGCCAAAGACAGTACCCGATTGGCACAAAACTTAGTATTTGTTAGTTTTTGCCTAAAATAGGTATGTAGACATACAAATTTTGGTAGAAATCGAAGAGGGTCGATGCACTTTAGATGGAATGACCCATATATCTTTTATATGGAATGCATCACTTTCACATGATTTCTAGGTACCCTATTTAGAAGTGTTATGGACCTCTGGTAGAATCTGATCTGAAGAATCACCCGTACCTGTGAAAAATAAACGATTAAGGACAAAATTTACAAAAGCCACAAATGACCACTATCATCGCTGACTTTACACTGCAAATTAGCCATGACAACGGCCATTTGCGAATTCTATCAACCTTGTCCTTAAAGTAGTTTAATAATCATTACGCAAAAAAAAATGAAGCTTGGCGTCAGACGAATGAGTCATATTTGGCAAATGATGCCGTTACAATTAGCCATGTTGGATCTGTTTCAAGAACGAATTCTTCGTCACGTTCTCGTTCATAATCAGCGTTGTCGCGTCTGCTAGGGTAGACAGGGCAGAGGGTAGGGGGAAATACACATCGCGTTTGATGTGGTGGCCTATTATTTTTTTACAATACAACCACCGGCTATACAAGGTAGCAGAGGTCAAGAAACATGTTCTTATTGCTGCTCTCTCAGTACGACTTTGGTACGACTGTCCGTGATTCTGCTGGTCTGCTGGTGCTATCAAGACGTGTCTTATGGTTTGTTTATTCTTAGGCTATTTAGTTCGCTAGCTCCACCAGCTAAATCAACTAGCGCGAATTTCAGTTGTTCCTGAAATCTCATGCCGGTAGCTACTGATGCCCTGTTTACATTATGCTGGTTACTTTTTAGACACACATTATTAATTTCACTCATATTTTATTTGAGTTTAGTTTTCTTTATTAAAGAGGCTTTCAGATTAATCGCTGTCAAATTAAAATGTTCAGTTGCTAATGACGATGGTCAACAATCTGTCTTGGATTGCTATCAGCATATCAACAACAAGAAAGAAGCAACTCGTTCGATCCGAACGTTCACTGACCAAAAGTTGGCCCTCTTGGCGGCCGCCCAACAACTTCTGATAAATGGCATCAGAACCCGAGACGTCTGCTAGCCGTGCCATGTCTCTTGGAGCAAAAACCGTTTTCTTTTATTTTTTTGTCTTTTGTAATGAAAGACAAACATCTAATCGGGATACCAGCTCTTCTTCGTACATTTAAATTAGTTACCCCCAAATGGCGGGTTATGTTTCCAAGAGAAAATATTTCGTCGGGTGA